CGATAATGTCTATATCTTGCAAAAACTCGAAACTTGTCCTAACATGGTTTGAACAGGTGTCTGGGATGAGAATTACCTACTGTAAAAGTGAACCCGTCCCAATTCACTTGGAAGAGTTGGAGGTGCAACCCTTTCAAGGACATTTTCTATTGTTCAGCAGGGCGTATTAAGTATCTTGGTGTACCCCTCCACCATCATAAGCTTAGGAGAGAGGATGTCCAACCTGTAGGCTGGCTCAGAGGGGAAGGCTGCTCTGTTATGCTGCTAAACTAAGCTCATCAAGGCCTGCCTAGCTACCATCCCCATTATCTTCTCTCCATTAAATTCCTAAAGTGGGTCCAGGAGACGAACTAGCAAATGGCACATTGTCTCTGCAATGACTTTGATGGAAATAGAAAGCTACATCTTGCCAATTGACACTTATATGTACTCCCTCTATAAAGAAATATAAGATCATTTAGGTCACTATATTAGTGACAATCTTATATCTCTTTACAGAGGGAGTACGAGAAAAGAATTTGGACGACTGGGGATCCCAAACCTACAAGACCTCAACCTGTGTCTCCTAGGGTCCTCGCTCGAGAGATGCATCCATAGTAATAATTCCTGTGGAAAACCATTATAGGCTTTAAGTATAACCTCTCCCCAATATCTTCTCCAGCCACAACATAAATATGTCTAGATTTGGAAGGGGGTCCTAGCTGAGATGTTCGAAATTGAAGTGCATTGATGCACAGCAAAGAGAAGCAAATACTCCATTGATAAGGATGAGCAACCGAACAAGGACGCCAGTTATTATGCTACGGCGGGGCTGATGTTTGTACATATAACATGGTCCGCTTGAAGGATCTGCACAAGCGGAATTGAATTTATGTCAGTCTTTACCCTCGACCAAAGAACGGTCGGCACAGGGACCAGGCACGCGAGCCACACCCACACATATAAAAGTTCAAATTAGAAGAACTGTCATGACGCTGCTCATGTCATAACTCAAATCTGACGAAATTTCTGATGAAATTGTCGTGCCATGTCTGAAATTTCTGACGGCGACACGAGGCCGGTGAAGTGGTGATCATAAGGATGCATCATGCATGCATCTCTGAAGGTATTTTCCCGGTTATTTGTCAAGTAATGAGAAGCAACATTGTACTACTCCTTTCAAGCCTCGTCAAAGATTGTTTTTTTTACTGGAAAACATAAACTGTTGTCCACAACCACTGGGACAACAAGCTTTGGGTCTCGTCAAAGATTGGTAGCAACAGCACACCAATTCTGTGTGAATCTGGTGTGGGCAGAGTATCAAAATCCTCAGGGTATAAGTTTGAGAAATGCTGGCTGCTTAGAGAGGATTTCAAAGACAGTGGATACATCCTGGGATGCACCCATCAAACATTTCAAAGACATCGATGTTTTGCAAGAAAAGGTGAGGAGATTTAGGAAGACAATTAGAGGTTCGAGTAGAAATATTGAGGCTGAGCTTAGAAACCTTGAAGCTGATCTCATGGCTGAATATGATATTTTAGATATCATAGCTAAATATGTTGAACCCTCAGTTTCTGATCAAGAAACAGGGAAGTTTAGCGCACTGAGATTCAGAAGATTTGGCTCCAGGAGGAGACCAAAGATAAGCAGAGATCTAGATATAGATATTAGTGGTGGTGGTGGTAGTGTGGGGGGATTGCCTCCATTATGCTGATGACGCCACTCTCTTCGTTGATAATGGCATAGATCTTGCAACAAACTTGAAACTTGCCCCGGCTTGCTTTGAACAGGTGTTTGGGATGAGAAATACATATCAAGTGTGCCATGGACATGATCAACTCCCGTATGGCACATTGCCTGCATCATCTCTGGAATGACTCTGATGGAAATAGGAAGCTTTTTTTTTTTTGCGGAAGGATGGAAATAGGAAGCTGTATCTTGCCAATTGGCACTTGATATGTAATGAGAAAAGAATTTGGAGGACTAGACATCCCCAACCTACAAGACCTCAACCTGTGTCTCCTGGGGTCCTCCCTTAAGAGATACAATCTATATAAATAATTCCCTATGGAAAACCATTATAGACTTTATAAGTATAACACATCCTCCCCCAGTATCTTCTCAACCATAGCCTAAAGATGTCCGATTTCAGAAGGGGGTCCTAGGTGTTATAAGTACAATTAAGTTTGGATACAGGTGACTCGCAATTGTCATAAAGTTCAATTCGAGGAGGACAACTGGTTTGGTACCACTCCACCAGTAATTCAGTACTGGAACTTGTATTCCATTTGCTGTGAGCAGAATGCCACAATTTCTGAAGTCTGGGATGGCACTACTCTGAAAGTGTCTTTTAGGAGGACTTCCCTTCCGGTTCTAGATCAATGGTTTGAGTTAGAAGAAATTGCTAGACTAGTCTGAAAGTGTCTTTTAGGAGGACTTCCCTTCCGGTTCTAGATCAATGGTTTGAGTTAGAAGAAATTGCTAGAAGTGTTACCTTCCAGGATGAAGAGGATTCTCTTATTTGGACGTACACTAGTAGCAATGGAATTTACTCCTTTAGTTCCATCTACGCTATTATGAACTTTACTTTACATGTGTTAACAGATATACACCCCCCCCCCCCCAGGGTTCAGGTTTTCCTTTGGCTCTTGTCACATAATAAACTCATGAGAAGGAACAGCCTGAATAAACGCATTCTAAACAAGCCGAAAGTTGTGATTTCTGTTCTGAACTAGAATCTATCAAGCATTTGTTCTTTGATGTTTGTGGCCAAATGCAGTTGGAACAGTCTCTGAATATTTTGGTAGACATATTGGGAGCACTTATGAATCCATTGCTACATTCTAGTTGGAACAACAAAACACATGCTCTTCTGAACTCTATTACTGCTTGCATTCTTTCTTTGGTCTCTGGAAGTATAGGAACGGTATAACAACCATAGCTGGCTTGACCTTAAGCAGGTGTGGTGGCTAATTCTGAAAACTACCAGGAATTGGAAAAGCCTCTACATGGAGAGCATGATTCCTTCAATAGACAGATTCTGTCATCGCATCTTCCATTTTGCTGGGGGTGCCCTCACAGCTGGAATGGGGTCTACATAATGATGCTGGCCTTCATAGGATTTCTCTGGGCCTTCTAGGGAAATGCTCCAAACTGCTAATCACTGAAGACCGCAAGCGGCCAGCTAACTCCTCACATGCGCATGGAGATCTTCCCTGGAAGGCAACCTGGCATCCATCCTGGAGCCTGGTCTCTGTCGCTCCAGGCTCTCACACCACTGAAGAAGCTGCATCTGGAACCTGAATCCATCTGTCTGAGTTCTCTCCTGCCTTGTAATCTGTTCACCAAACTTTTCAGAGGAGCGACCTCTGCTGTTTTACTGTTATATCTTATATAAGTCTATGTACTTCCTGGTTTCATTTTACTTTGAGGTATCAAGCCATACATGTGATGGTATTTTCCAAAATATGCATTTTTAGACGGTAACAAACTACAATCTATAGTATAAACTGACATAAAGGAGATAAGCCTGTATAACAGCAAGATTTTTTTATGAATATTGGTATTGTGTGACGCTATAATTATGGCCAAAAAATATCCCAACGGCCCAGAAAAGATGATAGTGTCATTCTAAACTTACAGATCCTACCTAAATTATCTGGCAACAGTGACTGGTCTATCTATAGTTTGTGACGGCCCAGTGGCTACCTCTAATCTTTCTGCATCATCAACCTTTTCCTTGTGAAAAGATTTGCTTTCCAGTTTTCGTGGATAGAAAATAGCCAGGTAGTTCGTTTCCCTCCAGCAGCAAACGTGTTCTGTTGCAGCTGCTTATAGTCAGATCAACAAAATAGCAAAAATGCTTCAAAATATGTGATTGAACTGTACCCATCTGCAACTGGAAGCAATTCCATCATGCACAGCAGGAAGTTTCATCTCAGCTAGTCCAACACTGGTAATAAACTTCAGTGACTTTGATAGGGCCGAACACCATCCATGAGCTAAAACGAGTTATGCTGCTTTGATATTCGAAAGTTTTTGAGTAATTTGATAAGCTCATATGTCCTCACGTCATGACCCAATCGGAGGCACAAGTCCAAAGGAGTCAATCCATCCTGTGGTAATCATAAAACAAATTTACTTTCCTATTTAGTGGAAGACAGATGGATCATAAACAAGATTGGGCTAGGAACCTGATATCATTAGAGAAGTAGGTAAGATATGTGAAATGAGCTTGAAAGCAGTTCATTTGTTCTCATTTGTGAAATAGAAAAACAAAAAATCACAGATTACTTACTTGATTTTTCAAAGTTCTATTAGCACCTTTTAGTAAGAGTAGCCTCACAATATCGGTTCTCTGTGTTTGCACGGCTAGATGCAACGGTGTCCAGCCATACTGAGAATTGAACAAGTTAAAGCAGTTAAACCATAAGAAAACAAGACAAGACAAGACAAGAGACAAGACAAGCAGAGATAATTCTTGAGCTTAACATACATCATCTGGACGATTGATATCAACATTGTAGAGCAATAGCGTTTTTATAGTCTGATTGCATGCTGTTTGGACAGCATAATGCATTAGGGTTGCACCATCCTGTAACACCGAAGTTGCACCGTTGAGTTAATGGAATTAAAAAATTCAAATACAGAAGGAATCTACTCCCTCCGTTCCGAATTACTTGTCTTGGATTTGTCTAGATACGGATGTATCTAGACTCATTTTAGTGCTAGATACCTCCGTATCTAGACAAATCTAAGACAAGTAATTCGGAACGGAGGGAGTAGAAGCTAACCCGCTGCAGTAATGCCTACAGGAAGTGATATACCTTAACACAAAATAGAAGAACCAATGCAAATATCTAAAGAACAAAACTGAAAACAAACAACATCAACATATTATTCAAGATTAACCCCATCATGAAAGCAAACAACATCACCATATAATCCAAGATTAACCACATGTAATATAACAGAACATTCTTGGAATTTGCTATTTAAAACTGTTTCAAAGATATGTAAACATAGGATATACTCACTCTATCACAGACAGATGGATTTGCTGAATTCCTTAAGAGATAGTTGATGATAGCATGCTTCTTCGAAATAATTGCTTTATGAATTGCTGGCAAACCATCCTGAGGAGACCAGAAAAGGTCAATAATGGTAACAAGATATCACAAAGATACCATGCCTTCTACGCGTGTATCTGCTTATGATGAGATAGCTCAACATTTAGAGAAGAAACTACCTTATCAAGTGCATTTACATCCACCTTATGTTTCAGAAGATTGTCCAATAGATAGAAGTCTCCTGATGCAGCAAGGGTGTGATATACTCTACAAGAAGAAGACACAAGGTGTATCAACTGTCAATGTGCAGATATTGCAGAGGAGCTAACATGGCAGTAGCAAATACCATCAGACATAGGTCATGAGGCAGAACATGCATGAATGTTAGGAGAAAATATGTTAGCAAGGCTAAAATACCAGGAGCACATTGACTGTTCCTAAAACTGAATGATGGCTAAATGACTTAACAGCAGCTAAAATACTCTGAACAGGAACCACTTACGGAAGCAGCACCTTCCAGATCAGGTAATCTCCTGTTCAGAAGAACCTTTTCCTCATCCGTGAACAGCTTCCGGCGACCTAAAGTAATGAAAGATTATTCATAGGAACAACTGCAGCGTTAGAAGAACTATACAGCATATAGAAGTTGACCTGCACAAAAAAACAGCATATAGAAGTTGTGCCAGACTGCCTGTACACTTGATCCCAAATACATCACACTTTTTTTTTTGTCTAATATACCAAACTGGAAGTGACATAGATTCCTCAGACGAGTTGGTATAGCCTCTAAAATTGTAGTACTATCAGTCTGTTTCAAAATGCACAGTGCATTTTGATAGTTAAAGTTTGCATTTGTTATAATATTGCCCTAATGGTTACAAAATTTCAAAATCGCAATCATAAGAATGTTCTTTCAAAAATAAATCCCATGGTATCAATTTTCTATAACTTAACTCACATATTATTGGATTAATTGTAATTTTATTGGCCAAAGAATTTAGGCAGTCAAAACATGCCTTAGATCTAGGAACACAGGGAGCATCACCTAACTAGAGGTTCTGATTATATAGTATGATACTCAGCATCACGGATACTTACCAATAACAATAATATCAGTACTCAAGGTTTTATATCATGAGTTTGGGCAATGTAGTTGACCAACTTTGAAGCGTTTGGGCATTAACTTAAGTCATATAACTTCGAAGTGTTATTCTGAGCATTTGGTCAAAGTCAGTACATTCAGTACCAACAAATTGATAACGTGGCATTCAGAGTGCAGATAATGCACAATGGATTGCCGCTGGAGACAATCAACCAGGGATAAGAGATTGCACATTTCTCCGATAACTTCAGTTTAGTGCTGTGCCCTCTGGTGTAGCAGACTAAATTTGCAATAGTCAAACAACATGCCTGCTTTTACTTCATTTGGCTTTGTCCCAACACATAAATTCTAATTGGCTAATTGGTATACTGAAACCGAAAATTCCGCTTGCAAAATAACTCGCCTACTGTTCAATGATAGCTCACAGTTTCAGGAGTACTCCAGTTTCAGCAAACCATCCTGAAGGAAGACTCAGTATATTTACTTGGCTAATTGCTACAATACCATGCAACATTTCTGTAATTCGCCTACTGTTTAATAATAGCTCACATGTCATATTATCAACAATGGAAAGGATTCTGAAAGAAAATTTAGTATGGCAAAACAGAAGTTGTGGAACTCACTCCTCGCGCTCTTGCCATCCTCCGTCTCGCCTGGGACATACTGGCTACTGTTAAACAGCTCCGCGATGTCCTCAAGACTGACCGAGTCCATCGCCGTCCTAGGATTCCTGGGCGCCGCGCGTGTCCCGGGAGGCGGAGGCGGCGGAGCCTCCACCTTCTCCGGCGCAAGGGACATCTCCTCGAGCGGCTCGACGTGGTTGCTCGCGACGCGCCCGGGCTCCGCGTCCAGCCTCACCTCGCTGTACGCGCGGGACCTGCTCTCGAGCGGAGACACCAGGTAGTCGCGCGCGCCGTGGCCGAGCTCGGCGTCCAGCCTCCCCTCGCGGTACGCGCGGTACTCGTCGGGGGCGGCCACGGCGGAGGGCACCCGGCGGTCGAGGCGGCTCCCGAAGCGCAGCCCGTGCGCGATGCGGCGCTTCTCCTTCTTCGTCAGGTTGATCTCCTCCACGGCGTCCTTCCACCGCTCCGGCACCAGGCTGCCCCCGCCACGGGCCGCCGGTGGCTTCCGGCTGGGGTGGGAGGACGGGCGGCCGAGGCCGAGGTCGAGGTCGGGGGCCTCGAAGGCCTCGTCCTCGAAGACGAGGCAGTCGCCGAGGACGACATCGTCGTCGTAGTCGTGCTCGTCGTCGTTGACGGCGGCGACGGCGAACGAGGGGGGAGGGGAGGCGAGTGGGCGGGGGCACCGGGAGAGGGAGAGGGATCTGCCGGGCGTGCGGAGGCGGGAGGCGGAGGTGGGGAGAGGGTGTAGGATTGGGGAGGAGAAGGGGAGGAGAAGCGGGAGAGACGGTGGTGGCATCGCGTCGTCCTCGCCGCGCCGGAAGCCGAGAGGATAGGCCGGTGTCGGCGACCGTTTAAGCTGGGCTCTTATCTTCTGGGCTCGAAAGTGATTTAGGTGGGCTAGAAAGGAGCCCAGATTTCATATGGACGTGAGGGCCACCTCCACCGCGGCACGAATAACATAGGAAGTAGGTTCTTCTTATAAAAAAGAACAATGGAGATACTTCTTAACACCGAGTGACAACACATCGACATATACACACACCCCTATCCTTATCCCCTGTCTCCAGCACTCCCTATATCATCCCACCTCGTCGCTCGGGTTGCCGGCCGTCGCCGTTCTCCTCTATGAGAAGCAAGGATGAGCAGAGGAGAAGGAGGTTACCGGAGCCAGAGAAGAAGGGGGAGGAGGAGCAGCAACCACCCGGCCTCGTGTGCGAGTGGCGTTGTCTTCAATGTCCGCACTGGCCAAAGATGAGATGGAGCAGACACCATCCTGACGGCGAGTGGCGAGGCTCGCGGTAGGGTCACTGTGCGCGTATCATCATCATAGCCGCCACACGCACATAGAGGCACACCACATGGCCGTGGCAAAATTGGACCTCCGGTTTCTACTCCCTTACATTCCAGTAAAATTGGCAAAATTGCCATGGCTATCTCAAACTTTTCTATGTCTCCGGTTTTTTGCTATGGAAAAATTGTATCTACGTTTGACATGCCTCAACTTTTTTGCAAGTATCAACATTTTTCCCATGGCAAATTCCTTTTGTGATTACAACTTAACTTTTTT